CGGGTGGCTGCTCCGCGAGCTCAAACGGGGGTGACTCGTGCGACCATTTGTTCCGCGGGGAGGTTTTGACGAGGCGTACTCGGTCTCTCTTCCTCCGTCTGGTCTAATCGCCGCGGCTGCAAACGCTGCGCGGCCACCTCCACCGGGAAAGCTAATCATAATTGCACGGGCCACGATAAAAAGTGTCCGGCTCTTTTTCACCGTCCTAGGTTGCACCCCCGGGCACGGCACGACGATGACGAAGCGGCCGCTGCAGCCCCTCGCCGCTTCGGGTGTCTCTGATATGTTCGCATAATTGACCCCGAAACGTTGTTACAGCGATGACTTTATTAGTCGTCAGGGCTGTTACAGGCGTCATTGAATATTCTCGGAGATATTTAAATCATTTACAAAGATTCGAGATTGCGATTTTTAGAGTCTTCGCTTATTATTAGACAGCAGATTTTTATGCTAGCTTTTATGTTTCTCACTGATTTTACAATCTGACAGTCTAGACTAGGTCTTAGATTTTCTTTATCTGTAAATGTATCAGAAATCGAAGTCCATCTCTATACTATAAGAAGAAAACCTGCAGTCCCGTTGCCTGGAATTATCCACACTTTCACGAATGGAAACCGTGGCTGGAGAGGAGATGGCTACGCTATCCCTGTCCATCTCCACGGACAGATGAGCGTAGCGAGCGAGTACAGAGATAAAAGGATATGAGAGATCGGAGGGACGAGGGAGAGGCAAACCTAAGAAGAAACGAGAGAGCAGCAGCCCAAAGAGGGGGCTATCTCTCGCGTCGTCTAGACTCGAGAAGCCGTTCCTGGATTTTCTCCCCCGGGAGCCTCGGCCTAGCGAGCAGGCGAGGAACAAGAGACGAACCTTGCGAGACAGTGAGACCACTGTTGGATCTGTTTCCTCCCCCGCTCCTCGCCCGTAGGATCTTAACGAATAAGATAACGCGGCGCCAGGGAGCTCTCTTCCTCTCGTGCTGTTTCGCTCTGAACCAGTAAACGGTCACCGACATCACCGTCATCGATGATCCATCCGCCCCAACTTGTTCGTACGCGTATCCCCGAGGCCTGATTACGCGGAATCTCTTGTCTCGTCGTTTTTTCGTGCACATCGCGCTGAACGATTCTGTTTCAGAAACGGCCCCGTGATCTGCTGAATCGCGTGCATTATCTACGCGGGCGCCAGCCACGATCTTTGTCAGACGTTAAGTACCACCGACCAACTGCTTCTTGAAGTAATGAGAAACGACGTTCTCATTTGCTTGGCAATCTTTGTCTTTCGTCGATGATTCAAGAAAGAATTAATTGATCGTTGGTACTGTCTCGTCGACGTTGATACTCGGAACGATTCCCAAGTTGCATCTTTTTTTTAAAGGCTTGACGATTCTGCAGCAGTCTCGAGGAAATTATAGAAAGGGATCGTCGATAAATTTCGAATTTTACACGGGCAATTAAATGTACCTTTTCATTACGAATCATAAATGGTCATTGCGCACGATTGATGGCTCAATTCGCAGTCCATCATTTGACTAACAAAACTTCCGGGCAGGTTAAAATAATGGCACAATCTGCCAAGTTTCCCTGAAGAAACTATCCGTCTGCTGTGTTAGCAGTACATTTAAAAAGGCAATTAGCTGGTAGTCAAAAGTGACCGGGACGGTCTACGGTGTCGTAAATCATTCGCGGCGTGTCTAATTAAAAAGGACGAAAGGGAAACCGATGGTCGGAAGGTTCGACTGGTTCCTGGGCCACCGTAGCGGCGTCGAACTCGAGCACAAACCATGCTCGACGATAATTTATTGGCAGGTAATTAGCGATCGCGCGAACGATAATTGTCCCGCAATTTCGCAACGCTAGGCTCGAACGGTACGTAGTTGCGTAACGTGGTGCTGCGCCGCCGTGTCGATCTAGGTGAAAATCCGAAGTGATAAATGCGCTCACGACGCGACGCGGAAAAGCGTGAAAAGGACGCGAGTCATTAGCGTCGTTTCAAGGGACAAATGGGGACATAATTAAATAGCCGATCAAAGTGCCTGACGAAATTATAGATTCGCAGCGTTGAATCACTTGCCTTTTACTTGTTTAATAAATCACTTTACGCGGGGGTACGTTCAATTTATACAATAATACCGAAGAGAAACGTGTATAATGAATCAATTTCAATTTAAAAATAATCAAAAGTAAACACCAGGTGTTATATGTATGAATGTATATCACGGTATTCACGGATCTTACGAATTACATATTTGACAAGAGATATCTTTGTTAAGAACGTGTCAGCTTGTCAAACCACATATTATGTAGTATTAAGATCTTTAATCGAATCGCGAAATCATGAATTCTATTTATCAATGTTGACTGATTTTTATTACTGATTTGATCTTATCGCTTGCTAACGATTTTTCATGCGAATTTATCAGTTTGCCCGATATTACAAAATGACTTGCAAAGACAGAGAGTGGAAGTACGCAGTGCAAGGTAATGGTATGCACGGTTATTAGATACAGAGTGGGGGTGTTCGCTACGTGTCTTACGATCGTCGTTATCGTTATCGGCATTAGTCACGGAGCCCCGTTGCGGCGTATTACGAGTATCAGGACCAGTGTTATCGTTATCCGTTTATCAGGCTGCGCTATCGGCGAAGTTCGAGCTTCGTAATGCCAGTGACATGAGTTGTTCTGGTGCCCCGAAGTCTGACAATGAGCGTCGATCTACAATCCTTTGTATCTGGCGTGAATTGGAAACGATTTAGGCAAACGATATAGACCAGTGCACAATTTTTCAAAATACATTAATATTACATATTTTAGGATTGAAAGGAGTAATGTAAATGCTTTATGTATTTCTTTGCTCGACCGAGACGCGTGTATATAATTCAGAATCGAGTACATTGATACCAGCGTAGGATACAATGGACTAGTTGTTCGGTGACGCGACACTTTCGAGCATGAGAGAGGACACTAATGAATTCGTTTACTGGTGTAAGAATATAGAGAGAATTTTATAGAATCTGTTAAATATTAAAATAATTTCTATTAATTATTATAGTCCGCGAGCTTTTGTACGTTTCGTGGAAATCGTAGAACGTAGGACCACGCAAGGGTTTAATCTTAGTCAAGGGTCGATTCACGTCGTTCCGCAGAAAGCGGCAGGTTGAAATCGGAAAGCGAAAAGGGAAAAGTAGAATGTTTGCCAGTCAGGAGGCATTATCGCGTTCGAGAAGTAGAAAAACAGAAAGAGAGGGAGAGAGAGAGAGGGAGAGAAAGGGTGGCAGCTGAGGACGGAAACGGCCGAGAAAGAGAGAGGAGAAGTTGATAACAGGTAGCCATTGCCATGGGCCTCAGTGCCGCTTGGAAACCAGTGATAGCGGTTCCCTGCAACGGCGAACATCTAGCCTCCTCTCGTCTGCGGTTTCGTCTTAGCCCCGGGCTTTTCAACAGTTCGCTCCCGGAAGAAGCTTTGCGCGTCATCGAATCGTGTCTCCTCTCTCAACGCGGTCGCGTTGAAGAGCCTAAAACCGGACGATTGTCGGCTAGCTCCGAGTCTGGGAGCTTTGCGGGTTCGCGGACTGTCCCGTTGGTTGAAACTCAAGAGGCGCTTTTGCTGGAATTTTTGTACGCGTTCGAGTGCGGTTAGAGAGAAACTTGAGTAAAACTGTTAAAACGCGAGTTTTTAATACATATGAAAAGCGTTTTTAAGTGAAATAGTTGTAGTGAAAAAGTAACTATCCAATTTTGCTATGCATTCTGCGTAATCACCCTTAATTTCGCACCCTCGTCATTTGGAATCTATAGGGTCGGGAAAAGCCTGTGCGTCGCGTCGTTTGATCGTCAAAGCGACTCGGCCGTTGCCCGCTTGTCCGCATTCAATTACTCTTATCGTGGTCCAGGTGTCAGAGACGTTATCGGTCCGGGCGTGACGAAAATTTCGCTCGGACCCGTGGCCCTCCTAATTGTCGTTCGCTCGCGCGCAATTAGCTCGCCGGTTTTCCGGGCAGTGCCACGCGTTGCGCGTGTGCGCGATCGATAAGATGACGATCGTGCCGGCTTATCGGGCAGCGAGCGGCCGATAAGAGAGTCGGAGCTGTCGGAGCAGAGCGCGCGGTGAAGCCGCGATACGCGGATTATCCGCGCGGCTCGTTTATTTCCGCTCGCTTGTAGCTCCAGCAGTTGCAACCACGACAATCGGCCTACCGGTCACCTACCAGCCTTCCCTCCTCTCTCCCTCGCTCTTGAAATAGTGTTGGTCGGCGCACGGGTTCCCTGACATTCTGATCCAACGTGACGCGGTGCCGGAAGATATTGACTAGGATTAATTGTTCGCACGAAGGAATCGAATCGATCTGCGGATAATCTGGCTATGCTGGCTTTACGGGTTCTACTGAATTTGTTGTTTCCCTGCGTTACGAGCGTACTCGATGACTGTTCGATTTTTAAATGATCGATCGACAGAAACAGACTTGAATTACTTCAGATAGTTATCTCATAATTTATTCTTTGATTTCTATAATTAAACTGAAATTCTAATTTTAATAAGATTTATCATCACCAGAGAAAAAGAGGAAATTTTACACGAAAGAAGTTTTATTCGAAAAAATGAATTCTCCGGCAATCATTTTATAATCCCTGTGTAACCTTATTCCATCCTTAACCAAACATCGAACGGACCGAAAAAAATCGCGTGCATGCAGAGTAAACAGCGCGAACACAGAGATACGATTAATGTTTGCGATGGGGATCGATGGTACGCGATAAAACCGAATCGCAATCAGTTTCAGCGATCGTGATCGAGCGGAGATAACGCCGTTGACGAGCCTCGTGCCGATAACGTGACAGTGGATGGCAATCGCACCGGATCTCCGAACGCGATCGGATCTATTCGGTCGCCTTGAAAATCGAGAGAGCGTTTTCGAGAACGCGCGGGTCGGGAGAGTTGAGTCACCCGAAAATATCGCGTGTGTTCTGCGAAAGAATTGAATGAGACACAGTGCGTGACCGGTAGTCGGCGAAGGCAGAATGTTAAACTCGCTCGCGAATTCGGACTTATTGTTCTGTTCGTCGGTAATAATCGAGTGAAAATTCAAGCATGTCGACTGTGATTGAAGCTGAATAAGACCAGCGATGAGTATATTACTGTGGAGGCAACGAAGGGCCAGCCAGTTGAGGGCGGAAGCAACCCATTCCTTAACGAGTAAGTATTCAGTGGATTTAAACCTCCCACCCTCAAATCGTGTCATTTGCATTATGTTTATGTATATTTCATTCGTACACTGCTGACTTTGTATCCGAGCGATCTCATATTTTTACGACACTGCGTATATTAACATCGCGTCCATAAAACACGGGGCTATCGCTGTATTTTCCTAACAATGTTATCTCGTGTACACTTCGAAATTTCCCACTCAATTGTGTTCGCATTCACCGCTGCCGAACGTGACACTTGCAGCTTGAAATAACGAACTTACCTACTATAACACCTTAACAAGATATTAATAAGCGATTTATATCTAGAAATATTGCCAACGTTCACGATTAAAATATTTTTATTAATTTATCCTTGGAAAATCAAGAGATTTCATCTGGCTTCTCTTGATTATTATTTCACGACAGATATCTCCTACTTATTGTATGAACAGTGATCTCGCGATCGAGGGAGTGATCAAAAGCACGAGGCGAACGTGGAGAAAAGGAAAAAGTAGGGGGTTTCGTCGAACGTTGCTGGTCGCGGCCTCGGAGCGTTAATGGGAGGAGTTCATTAAGATCATGCGATTACCAGCTTATCGCGGCCTAAGCGAGCCTCGTTACTTTGCCGTGACGTCACTTCCTCCCTGTGTCGCCCGTTGTCGTCCGCTGTGGCTCTCTTTCCGTCCTCGCCTCCAGCTTTCCGCTCGCTCGCTTTTTTCTTCTGTTCTCCGAATTTGAACTTACGCGTCGGTTAACATTACGCGTTTCCTTCCTCCGGTCATACTTTCCTAAATAGGTGGTTTGTAATAAGAAATAATTACGGTTCTAGATATTTAAAAGCTTTAATTCTTAATCTTACAGTTTGCACAAATACATGTATAAGAGAGATTATTCTTATTCCCTGTAGTTTTATGCTAATTAATAAAGCTCTCGATCCCCCCCGTTGAACTACCTGAATATTCAAAAGCATTTTAGGGAAATTTGAGGAAGAAAACTTGGAAATCTGTTTCTTAATCCTTGGAATATCAAGGAAACGTGTAACGGTCCAACGTGGAGCGTTCTTCTCAAATGAAAATCGTCATAGTACTCACGGATATATTCGGTCGGATCGTCCTCGAGATCGTTCAGACGAGATACAAGATGCGATTACGCGGATCTTTAATGATATAATCTTTCATCGTTTCAGCGATCGTTGGCTCCGACTTATCGTCTGGCGATCTCGGAATAGCGATCTTATTGTCCAGTTACGATAAGCCTGATAAATTGTCTAGACAATGATTAGTGGTAAGTACCTCCCCCGGCCAAATCCAAATCGATCTCTGGTCATTGATCGATATCGAGCGAACTCGTTATCTACGTCCGGACTTTGTCCCAATATTCATCTGTTTGTGTTCGTTCTTCTTCAACTTTTCTAATCAAAATAGACACGATTATCGTGCAGATCTGTGCTGACGTCTAATCTTCGAAAACTCGGTTTTATCTCATTGATAATAAATGAGGTAGGTCAACCGAGTTGATTAGCTCTATTCAAACATCGTACAGAATTCTTTCATGAAACCCGCGAGACTCGCGTACAAGCTTTCAATTTCTAGCTTGAATTTATGTGCTTCCTTTTTTTTTAAATCGTTTCTTGGCGAACTTTCTCTCGATCGGAAGATAGTTTCACAGGGAATCGTTTGGTCGCGCGAAACGGAGCAGTGGTCGATCTCGAAGCGAGCAGAGCAGACGCGCGAGTGGCGATCGGTGCCGCGATTTCGAGGACAAGGGAAGGCCGAGATGGAGAGAGAACGAGCCGAGGAAGGCGGGTGTACGAGAGGAGGACGAGGGAAGGGTTCCACGAAAGGCAAGAACGAAATAAACGATAAGAGGGACGCCGGGTTAACCAACAAGCAAATTAACACGTGGGAGGGTCCGATCGGTAAATGAGATAATTGTGCAACGAGGGGCCCCTCGGGGTTCTCTCTTCTCCTCTCCACCCTCCGTTTCTCTCTCTATCTACCCCGGTCTGGTTGTATCGTTTTCGCCGTCGTTCCTTCCGCCGTCTTCGTCCGATCCACTCGCATGAAGTCCACGAGCCATGAGGCGATCGACAGAGGCGTGTTACCGATGGACGTGGACCCATCGATGGATCGATCCATCGATCCCTGGTTAACCTGGCTCTACCTCGGTTCTTTACCCGCTTCCCTCATCCTCCGTCTCCACCTCGTCACCATCGAGATTATGGCTGGGGCACCGACAGCCAACGGGCTCCTTCCAATACTTTGTAAGTTTATTTGCGATCCGGTTGTATCTTTATTTATGAAATCCTCGCTACGGGGCTCGCTTTTCCTCCTCGATCCCCCTGTTCGCTTTAAACCTCTATTGCTGCGAAATTAATTATGCCCGCCGGAGGAAAGAGACAGCTTTATAAATCATTGGGTACAATATGATTCGTGTAGAAACGACAGTGAACGATCAAGACAATCTCTCGTTGTCGTTCAGTAGTCATCAGTTTGTTTTCGAGAAACAAAATAGGTCACTGGTTCACTGAATCTCTCCATTTCCTCAATTCGTTTCATCCCTCGCCGCGAGTCTTACGAAAAGAGGTGGCCTTTTGCGAAATCGGAGCGGCAACCTTTTCCAGAGGCCTCTTCCAGAGAAACGGCAATTAAAACTAGGACCGAAACGAGCCCACGAGGCGGACGGGGTGCAGAAGGGCGAAGGGGGATGGTTGAGTCCCGATAAACCGGACTGATAACGCGCGGCTCCAAACATTTGCCCGCGATAAGATCCCGTATCTCCTGAGAAAGCCCGGTTTTTATGCTCGTGCACGTTCTCCGTGTCCGTTTCTCCGCGAAAGCAGCCACCACCGCTCTGAAACGATAGCCGAACGAGGAAGAGAGAGAGAGAGAGAGATAGTTGCATTGAGCACGCGGAAGAGACAGAGAGAGAGCGTCTGGCATGGGCCCACGGTGTTGTTGTAGTACCGGCTTCAGATAGAGATAGCTATTTTTAATGGAAGTTCCTTCGAGTGCTCGAGCGTCGATAGCCGCTCGGCTATCTACCGGCTGATATTTTTAATATCGGAAACGGCCAGATGGGGTGGAGAGAGGAATCGAGGCTTGCTAGATACGTCTCTCTCTCTCTCTCTCTCTCTCTCTCCCTTCCTCTCGGATGTGGCCGATAACGCGGATCTATACACCCTATCTCGTTTTCGTATATTTCCCTTCGCGTCTTCTTTTTCTTTAGAAAATTCCCTTCCAAAACGTTCACTTTCTTCTTATCTAATTGTCCTGCTTCTTATTAAGCGTACTTATTAATTCAAGAATCAATTGTATCGACTTGAGAATTATTAAACGGCTACGACGACGTCGGAATCTCGCGAGTCGCTATCGACTGATCTAGAGCCAACAACAATTAGCCAGGGGTCAGAGTTCGGGTCTCGGGAACTGGCCTGCCACGATGGGCGGGTTTGCCATCGAGGGCGATCCGAGTAAACAAATCATAAAAGCCTGACGTGGAAGGCCTTCTTGCGGACCGATCTGCCTCACCCTGAACCTGTCCATTCCCGATCTTATACCAAACCTGTGTTCCGCGTGCATGATCCAATCTTATTAAGAATCAGCACCGATAGGAAGTAGTAAATAACGTCATAACTCAAAAATGGACCATTCAACAATTAGAGATTTTAATTGAGACATTATATATTATAAAAATACAGTGTATTGCATTGATAACGAAAATTTTTTCATGATTTTTTGAGAACATCGTACAGATCCGTGTATTAATTATTATTCCTCTTGAAATACTACTACAACCTACAATTGATTTTCACCACTTCTAAATTACATGCTCCGAATATTGTTTCATCTTTTTGATCTGCCTTCACACACGTTCCTTTCCCGTAGCATCTTCCACCTTCGCCGAACGGTTTCGTCCCGTTCCGATCTCTCCCTCCTCTCCTCGATCCGGTCCGGCTCTTATCCTTCCGCGGGATGAGAACCCGAGATGCCCTCCTACAGATACAAATGGTTACCTATGCCAACGGCGCAACCTGTTATTATACATTCCCCTATACAAACAACGTGTTAATCGGGCCCGCGCCCTGAGCTTCGGCCTCACCCCATGGCAAGCACCACACGCGCTATCGGGATACGCGCCGCGCCATAGAAAGTTTATCGATCGTTCCGTGTTGCACTTATTCTCCTTTCTGACTTAAACTGGAATATATATCGTCGTTTTCTCAAGATTTTGACCATTCATATAATAAGATCGCACGTTTTTATGAAATATATGACATGTATGACTTCTTGCATCATTGATTTGTAATTTTTGTTAATTCCATTTTCTTATAAATGCATTAAATCAGCATCTATAACGATTAACATTATTCTTCAGTATGTTGTTTGTTCCTCCCCTTATTATGAAGATCTACGATAGCGCGTTGGAAAGTGAAATTAAATTATTTAATTTTACGGACTTCCTTCGCAAAGTAGATTGTATTAAATTGTACTAAATTTTATAAAATCATAGTGTATAGAATTCTCTACTAAGGAAACAATAAAGGCGATAAAAAAGTGAGAAAGATCAGAAAAGGATGCAGGGGTATCTGCGTTGCATCGTCGGTGCACACGAGGCTAGTCCGGTCTCACTCGATGCACCTGGTGCCTCATCGTCTCGATCTCTACACCGCCTCCGGGCCCTCTCCGCCTTCTCTTCCTCCTCCTCTCTTGTCCAGTCTCTCTGTGGTTCCCCTCCGGAGCTCGGTGATCTTCGGGATCGACTACCCTCGTGAAGCGGCCACGAAACGCCCTGAAAATCCACTGTGAACTCGTTCGTGGATCGATCCGCGACCGATAACCGGACTCCGCCGCTTGCCACGGTGCATTATGAAAAGCCTTCGAGGCGAGAATCTTCGACGTTACGACATTGATCGTTAGCTCTGAGAAAGAATCTCTGCGTGACCGATGGCGAGTTCTCTCTTGGTTTCTTCAGAATTGAATCAATCATAGAGTAATCATATCGTTG